CCTCAACGTGATCCATCACAGTTGAGTTTGAAGGTTCCTGCCTCTGGTGGTTGCCATTTGATAGTCCTAGGTACCCTCTGTTGTTTAAATCCATCAATCATGCTCGAGCTAGTATACTCTTCAGCTTTAAATATATAGGCAACAATTTCTTTATTACTACTGTATTATATATAGGATAAGTTAGTTGAAACAACATTGAATAAGCTGTTGCATCCCTAGGAATCAAAGGAATATCCTTCTCAGTGAATTCATGCATTGTATTTAGTTGCACTACATATGCTATCAGTCTATCACCTGTCAGAGATCATAAATATCATGTTCAGAAGAAGGCATCCTACACCATTGTTTCAATTAGGGGTTGACATTTTTGTTTGGTTTGACCGAACCAAAACTGAATCATATGCAACTTGGTTTTAGTTTTGTAATGTTTTTTTCCAAACGTAGTTAATCCAAACCAACCATAGTTTGGTTTTAATTCAAATCCTCCCCCCTACCTGTTTGAAACTGGACTGAACCGAAAACCGGAAAAACTGTACTGAACCCGAGAGTTCCACTCCCCTACCTTTCAATCCCTGATATGTGTATTGATGTTTTTTCATGCTCGGCTATGTTCAGGTCCTCCACAACTTAAAAGTTAAGAAGCTGATTATTCCTGCTATATCCGAGCATATTCATACCTGGACTGTAGTTTTTGGTTTCAACCAGCTTGAGGAATCACACAAGCAGGAAATGAAATCTATCAATGTGTTGGCATTTCCAGGGGTAGATATGCTACAGAAGCAGATAGTAAAGCAAGGGGCATCAGAAGGTGATCATAGGTTCTTTTTATTTATTTACTCATTTCCTCCTAGAGGAAAAAATGTAATTTAATGCTCTGGTTGTCAGTCTTTGATTTGTAATTTCGACTTGTTTGCTTAGGTCTAAGGACTGCTGATTTTGAAAAACCTACTGCATTACCTGCACCGATGGGAACATCAGAAATGGTTTGCTCTGCTAAGTATGATGCAAATGAGTGTGATGACACTGGTTTGCAAAGTATTGGTGAAATGCACGCGAAGGTTGAAACTGGTCCTCAAGATTGTTCTCTTGCTATCAATTTTCTCAATAAAGAGATCACAGCATTCAAATCTGAGGTGAGTAATGAGTTTGCTGGATCTTCAGCCAACTTAAGACACTCTACAGAAGGTGAAAATGATAGTATACTTGATACGCAAAATGCTGTAATGGATAGTCCTGGAAAAAGTATCCCGTCTTCAGCACACAGTCTCCATGAATCCTGTGAGGTATTTGTCGAAGCTTCTGCGCAAGTGTTACAAAAATCGACAGATAAATCAGTATCAGATCCTGATGCGTGTGGTATCAGTGTTCAGACTATCTCACAACTTTGTTCTGAATCATCTCAAAGTAAAGATGAAGAAGACCGAGGTGAGGCTTGTTCTGTTCCAGAGGCTTCTAAGGGTGATGCCATTTCCAGTTTAGAGACATCTGACATTGCAATGCCCACTTACGTCAGCGGGAAAGAGGTTTTCACTGATCCCGGACATTGTTCTTCGGATCGTTCCATCCAATGTAGCACTGAAGATGCAGTTAGCAAAGAGACTTTACAACCTACTGAAATCTCTGAACCTACTGTACAGCTCACCTCACATTTGAATACACCAGTCACAAATAATGGTGCCAATGAACACCATCTATGTTCTGAAAAGACTACTGATACCAAAGGAGCTCATGGTGTGAGCAGTTTTCCAGGTGAAGGTGATCAAGATTTGGCTTTATCCAATGGTGAGTGCTATGAAAGCGAGAATGTCAAAGATTCTTGTTAGGAACCTCGGACTGATAGAGACAGAGACACAATGATGAAAAAATGAATTATTTGCCGGTGCTTTCGTTTCAAGGTGACAGTAAATATTAACCTCGGACCTCGGAGTAATCAGGAAGGGACTTATGGTAGGCTTTTCAACATAGGCCCAGACTAACTGAATTTCTTGAGGATGCATCCTTGACTACCTTTTTATTTGTTTGGTGTCATAGCACTTACAAGTTAGTTTTCCGAAAATCAGTTGGGATTTTCAGTGAACGGAAGTAATGTGAGTATAGGGACAATTATGTGCTAGCGCAGGATCCAGAGTGCGAGAGAATATTACGTAGTATGTATATAGTTTGACTTCTTGCACATAAGCTTGTTTTTTATACTCACTCTGGTGCTATGTGTAAGACATATCAAAAGGTCCTGAATATGTCTCTTTTGTATTATTAATGTACAATTCTTATTTTTCTTCCTCAATTTTTCTATATTGAAACTTCTGAAGCATATTCTAATATTCTTCGTAAGAATGTTTAAGGGTATACCGAGTAATAAATAAAGTGAAAATTATTATACACTTTGGGAGTGTTTGCAATTGCTTTTGCTTTAAAAAATTCACTTTTTAAATTGATTTTCGAAAAAATGCTTAATAATAAAATTGGTAGTGTTTGAGAAAAAATTGATTTTGACAAGTTTAAGTTGATTGTGTTCAAGTAATGTGTATTTTTTGTGTAATAGAAAAAGTAAATAACATATTTCAACTTTTAGTTTCTAAGTGTTTAATTTAAACAAAAGTCTCACCAGAAGAACAGTCTTCCAGCTTTTTAAGACAAAAGTTGAAAATAATTTTTTAATTTTTTTTGCAAACATACCTTTACTGTTTTTGGTCAAAAATTGTGCATCAAAAGGAATAGAGTGGCCCCAAGCGGCCCGACCCGAGATTGCTATTGTTTGTACCGGCCCGGGATCAGTTTTCCGATACCAGTATCAACCCAAGATCCGGACCGTGGATAGAACGGATTGAGCTTCGGGTTTGATTTTTTGGCAATTTTGGGACTGATCGGGCCCAGGCCTAATAACCGTTTTTTCATTTTTTTTTAAAATTAGATGGTAGGCCTGACCCGGAACCAGTATTGTTTGGGCCGGATCGGGCCGGTGCTGAATCAAACTGAGTCGGTAGCAGGCTTCACTTTATTAGTACTGCAACCCACCGGGCCTGGGCTTGACCCGAGTCCAACCCTACGGAGTAGTATATGTTTTTCTCTCTACCGGAAAAGCCTAACTTCTCTACTCTAAAAAAGAAAAGGCATAACTTCTTGGAAAAACTAGGTGTACAAAAGATGTACACAAAAAGGTATACACCAAGAATGGCTCTAACTTTTTTATGACGTTATTATGCCCCCCCCCCCCCCCCCGTTATTATTGTCGCAATAGTAGTCTGGTCATCTCACCCATCAGTCAGCTATGTTGGCTAAATACGAGAACTTAATAATCATTTTTGATAAACTATGAGGATCAATTTGGCAATTTTCCCGTCACTTTTATTTAATTTAAGAAATTTTTTCTAGCACTAGGGTGCAAAAATCAAGTTTTCCAGCGTTTTTGCTTGGAAAAATCATTATTAGTCCCCTGAGATTATGTCATAATTATTAATGCAACATTGCATTTTCAAAAATAAGTTACCTACCCCCTGATTTTTGATCATTCTCACTATATGTTCCTTTACGTTAATATTTGTGAAATTAAATTTAATAGTAGTACTACGTACAACTGTTAAATTCAATGAAAGTTGTTTAGAAAGTTAAAATTTAAAGTATAATACATTTTATTATCATAATTATAAGTTATTGTTGATAATGTTTTTCTACTTAGCTACTCGGTCGTGGAATAAGCTATTAATGAGAAGACTCACGAGGAATAGTCATGTAATACATCAAAGAAAGTTGATTACTATACAAATGTGTTTTCAAAATTTTATACACTTCTTCATCATAAATATAAAAGTCTTATATGTAATTCACTCGGGTGATCGAACTAATCTCAATGACATATTTTAAAGTATAGCAAAGAAAAAAGAGAATTTTATCATTCCATGACCTAAAAGATCGGTGTAGTATCTATAAGGGACGTAAAAGATAGAATATGTCGATATAGGCCTTGAATAATTGAAAATAATCAATCTAAGACCTAAAATATACATAGTAATTATAGATTTTTATTTATTTAATATTTTTTATTAACTTTGTCACTAATTTGTGATGATTTTATCTTCACAAAAGTTTTTTTACAGTAAAAAGTTTATTAGTTTTATAAGAATAAATGATATTTAAATTTTTAAAATAAAAATCTTAAATTCATGATATTTAATATCTAATTCGTGAGTATTTTTCCTTAAGTATTCTCAATAATATTTATTTCACGATAGAGTAGGTATGTAGAAAATGACTATCAACAACAATGACGTATGTTTATGATTATAATTTGTGCTTTACTTTATAAATTATTCTGTAGACCATTTTCACCGTACTATAATAAAAATTCAAAATAAAAATATAAACCAACATTCTAAGTTAGTTAACAAAATATCTAAGTACAAATCTATAAATTAAATAGTTCACAATCACCCAAATTAAATAACATCAAATTTTCAACTGTAGATATCTAGACATCATCATCCATAAACTAAAAAGATAGAACGATAAAGTCAGGAAATCAACTAGTTAATATACATATTTGTCGATGAAAACAATTTAAAACTTATTTAATCTCAAAATATAAGTAAAAATTAAGATAATTAAATGAATATGTCACACTTCATTGAGTAAAAAAAATACGGAGTATTAAAGAAAGAAAACTTGATGCATTTGGATAGAGAATTGATGAAGAGTTTATATGTACTTTGAAACTCTTTTTAATAGATCAAAAATTTATGTAATTGAGAGTCTTTGTCTAGACACAAAAAACATAAAGAGCTTATGTATGTTAGTATATTAAATATAATAGAGTTTATTAAAATAATATTGTAAATGGTTCGGTCCGGGTACTCGTTTATCCAAATTTTAGGTACCGTTCGGTTCCTAAGTTTTAAAGGACCCATCCCGAACCGTTTAGGTTTTCTAAAATTAGGATCTGGCTGTAACCCGCCCCGAATCTATATTATCCGGCCCTACTTGCGATTCCTGTACCCGTTGCCAGGGGCGGATGTACAGCAAAGGTAGGGGGGCAGTTGCCCCCATCAAAGTGCTACTAACCTCTTACTATTTAGTAAGAAATATCTCAGTCCAATACGATTGCCCCCAGTTAAAAAATAAAAATGCCCCCAGCAGACAACAAAGTAACCAAATCGCAAATCACGGCGTGAAATCCCTAGCCTAAAACAGAGCTCGACAAGTCAAGAGCCTGGCGGAGTGTAGCCTGGAGTCGAGAGGAGCTGCGGAGTCGTTGCAGGCCTGCGGCGTTGCCTGATTTCCTCTTGCACACCAAAGGGAAAAAGAGCAGAGAGAAGTCGAGAATGGGGTCGAGAAAATCAAAAGCTCCGGTTCCTAATTCCAAAAGTGCAGGTTTCTCTAATTCTCTTTAAACTTATTGATTATTAAGTAATACTCCGTAACTATTTGACTACTATATTTAATTTGTATTTCGTCTTATTGCATAATTTATTTGTTGTTTTAACTTAATGAGTTAATTAATGGCCTAATGCCTAATGGGTAATTATTTGTTGTCTAACTTGGCTTGTTGAGCTTTCTGCATTTCTGCGATTTTAGATGTTGACAATGACATTTGTAATGTTTGACTTGAGTAGTTGTTTAGATATGAATATATGATAAATATTTGTTGATAAAATTTATCCAACTTTATTAAAATGTTAGTCAAATAGGATAAATAGTTATCAACAAAAATTAATTTTTAGGAATAGTATTAAAGTAGGTATAATTGTATTAGGAATAGGATTAAAGAATTAAGATAATTAGTAAACTAACTATGCAAAATATATTTTTATAGCTAAAAGAAGTAAGATAATAAGATATATAAAGACTATATTAGTTATCAACAAAAATTAATTTATTTTTTATCAGCTTTTATGGGCGGATTTTTGAGTAAACCGTCCTCCTCAACACCCTCCTCAACATCAGGAAGTTCAAGTGTAAATGTGTGTAATATTACTTCTCAATGTCATAATTCAATGTCTCAAGAAGTCGATTTGGATGACCTTCCTTCGGATCCCGCAAAAAGAGGAAAAATCTTTGAATATCATCCTAATCAAAGGGATGAAATTCGAAAAAAATATCTGATTAAAGGTCCTTGCCAACCATGTGGTCTTGACTTCCTTCAAAAGGAAATCGGGAATGCTTTGAGACGGTTTAATTCTAAATGGTTTGATCAATATCCTAGCTAGCTGGTTAGAGTATAGTATTCAAGATGACATAGCTTTCTGTTTATGTTGTTACTTGTTTAGAGACTATTTTGAAAATCGTGGTGGGAGTGATGCATTTTAAGTGAATGTTTTTCTAGTTGGAACAAAACTGAGAGAATTGGTGCAACTACTGTTGAGAGATGCTTTTCTGCTATGAAAATAGTGAAGACTAATTTGCGTAACAGAATTGGTGATCAGTTTCTCAGTAACTCTAGTTTGCTTTATTGAAAGAGATATGTTTGAAACAGTAACAAATGAAACTGTAATAGATCTCTTTTAGAAAATGAAAACTCAAAGAGAGCAATTGTGATTTACTATATTTGTGCTTTTTGACATTGTAACATACTTTATTTCATTATAATGTTCTCGTGTTTTTTGCTACAACTATTTGTTGTTCAGATATTTTTTATTAAGTAATTTTATTTTATATTATCTTTACGTTCATCATCTTACTCCGCCCCCAACACTTTCATTTCCTGGATCCGCCACTGCCCGTTGCCTACTTGCCCACCCTTAGGTTACAGCCTATTTCTCACGATGTAACCTGTTTTCTGTTCTAATTTCTTTTGTAGTTTAAGTTAAACGGTGCCGTTTGCAAGACAAAAAAACACTAAAATAAAACGACACCCAACATGGAGTGAACGACAATACACAGTTAATACGATAACTATGGAGTCATAAAACGAAGAGGCTCAATCAAACCGGTGTGATTTCATCTCCAGGCCTGAAAATGTGAAGATTTAAGAGGCGTCGCCTAATCTACCTACACATTTGGTGAAGAAGCCAGAAGCTCCAGAAGCCGTGACTCACTGACTTGTGTATTTGTTGTATCTCCTGAGGTTGCTGTGATGGTAATTTTCCTTCGATCAGTTTTGTAGTTTTATTCTTTTACTGTTTTACGTAATGTAATTTAATGATTTTATAATTCTGTATGAATCAATTTATGAATGTGTTGTTGTGAATTAGGTGTATAAGTAATAAGTGGTTTTTTGAATCTTTAGTCTTATATGTTCGGCAACCTTGTAATTTTTTATTTTTTATTTTTTAATTAGGATATATATGTATATGTGTGTGCGCGTGCTGCAATTAATGTTATATATACTCTGTATTTATTAACTAATAAATAACTAGTACTTACAACATATAAATTCAGGATTATGTAATTATTTTATGGGTTTATTGTTGTATGATTTGTTAGCTTAAGCATATTAAAATTCCTAATACTGATTGGGCAGTCTTCAAACACTTCTATGAAGAGAATAAAAAGGAGAAACAACCTCGTATTGAATTTATTTCCCAGAGTAGTTATCTTGCTATTTAGATATAGACATGAAATTTTCTAACACTTTTTTTATACATCAACAAGGAAATTTTCTAACACTTCGAATTAAGATAATCATATGTGTTTATTTTCAATTTTTTTTTTTGATTTTTTTATTATTTGCCTATTTACACATACAATGATACAACTATGGGACGTGTACAAAACTTGTACACCGACGTGTACAACAAAAAAATCATATATTTCTTGTCTTTCTCAGCACCCGCTCAAATAAAGTTCTGGTTCCGCCACTGTCTATGAGAAGGGTGTGCGTCATTGTCGCTCACTTTGATTTCATCCCAACGATTGGCTTTTTCTGTTCAAGAACTGCTCTTCGACTATTCCAATCTTCATGTGCTAAGAATACCCATAAGAAAGAACCTTTTGTAACTTTCAACAATGGGTGTTTTTCTCCTTCACCATTGTTTTCTGATGGACCTGCACGCTTGGGAAAGTGCAGAGTAGAACTTGTGGATAGTGACACTTGGAGAGTGTCCTCAGACTTGGCAGATGTATGGAGGGGAAATGTAGATAGGGGATCAAAGACAAAGGCTTTTCCTTGTAATGAGGAAGGGGATGTGGAAGAAATGGCGAAATATGTGCCTCCAAACACGGAAGACCCTGGTTTTGATGAAATTGAGGAAATGAGGATCCGGGGAAACTTATTTTATAAGCTTGATAAAGATTCCAAAGAATATGAAGAGCATAAGTTTGACTTCCATGGTAGGAATAGAAACAAAGGTGATAAGAAAGAAAGTGCAAGAAACATGGAAAAGGTATGTAGTGCACCCTCTCGAAATGAGATAACCACTGAATGTAGGAAAAAGGGGCAAGAAAATAGGAAGGGGAAAGAAAATAAGAAGCAAGAACAGAGCTTGGAATTGACTAGGACTCCACAATCAGAAAAGAAAAGCCATTTGATTCCTCGTCTTCATGAATTGGAAGGTTCTGGAGACGCCAAGACAAAAAGGACTCTAACTTTCAATCAGATTACAGCGCCTTATCATATGCCGTTTTGTTTGGATATTTATTTATCTAAAGGGTCTGTACGAGCCAGCATTATTCACCGTCCATCTAGCAAGGTTGTGGCTGTAGCACATTCTATATCCAAGGACATGAAATTTGACTTGAAATCAACCAAGAATAGAGCTACTTGTAGCGCTGTAGGGGAAGTGCTGGCTCAAAGAGCCTTGGCAGATGATATCCATAATGTGGTTTATACACCCAGGAAGGGGGAACGATTGGATGGGAAATTGCAGATTGTACTCCAGGCTATTATTGATGGTGGTATTGATGTGAAGGTGAAATTAAAGCAGAGAAAACCCAAGAGAAGCCGCCTCCTCCCACCAAAAGCATAGCATTAACCATTGAAGCTCTATTCAACAGGAGGAGCAAGATCTGTGATGGGTAGAAATCTAGTCCAGCATTAGAAAAACAAGGGAGAATCATCTGAAATATAAGTGTGCGCCTAACTCCATTTGTATGAGGCCTTCTGGAAGCAGTCAGAAAACAAATATGTGCAGACTTGGCTCAGATCCGGCAATATCATACTAATGTGGAGTTTAGATGACGCTTGTGGTGCTAACAATTTGTGTTATGTCTTCGGTACCAATCAATTTTTTCTACCTGTCAAAGCAGAGAATATGATACTAATGTGGCTTGTAATTGTATTTGGCCTATGTCATAAAGGAGAATTCAGTTTTCTGTTATGTGAATGACTAGTTTTTCACTTGTGTGCTGCACGGGATAGCAAACTGACTACATAGTCAACAGTCTGCTAATTTAATACTCTGTATTAATTTTGATTTTATTCCCAAGAATCGTACCTCGTTGACAAATTAGCATAGCACTCTTTGAAAGTGAAATAATATTAAGTTAAGCAAGCTTCTCCAAGAATCATGATGCTTCTTCATCATATGTAGGCCTTCAATGGCAATATTTCAGTGTTTTGCTACCATTCTAGCGGTTTTGTCTTTCCTTATTCTATGAGCTTAGCTATCCTCATATGTGATTGCACTTTGTGGAATTAGAACCCACATGAGGCACCAAATAAACATCACCGTCTGCAGCATTCCAGACTTCTATATAGTTGCTAAGAATGAACCAAGACTTGGAAGAATTTTTATAACAATTGCAACTACTGAGAATGAAATAAGACTTGGAGAAATTTTAGAAGTTTTTATTTACTAATACCTCTCACTTGCATCTCAACAACTTTTATAAAAAACCTATACTAATAATCGACTAAAAGATACAACGTATAATATGACAGATCACCACGTTACTTCTTTAAGATATATTTCCTCTATTCCATAAAATTCTTCCCAGTTTGACTTGGATCAGAGTTTAAGAGAATGGTAATAAAGTGAAAATGTATGATTGTCATTTAGTATGAAAAAGGGTAAATGAATGTTAGTCTCACAAATCTTTCCAAAAAAGGAAATGGAAAATGAAAACTAATAATTCCATCTTTTAATGGTCTTCTTATAATAGTCTCATTGAACTGTATCTCAGGAATAATCCTACCTTTATACTCCATGTTTTTAAATTTCATCGATCCTAGCCGGTTGATGGCCTACTATTCCAGGTTACTTTTTTCTTTGCAAATAATTACACTATAAATCTCACGTTCTAAAAATCTTCTCAAAACAGTACCACACATGATTTTTTTTTCTTCCTAAAAGTCCTCTCTTTTTTCTTTATCATCATAATTCTTTTATTTATTTTTCTTCTTTCTTATTTTCATTTATTTACGTTGTTTATGTACTTCCATCATTTGCAATGGAGCCAAAGATTCATTATTTTTTGGCTTGAGAATATAATGGAATAAAGCAAAATGGCTCACCAAACTGTCTGCTCTTCTTTGTTATGAAGCAGCTGCCAGTCTATGCAATTTTGGACGCGATTTTCATTATGGGTCATCCAGAAACAGTCTCTTTGTGCTTTAGTACAGGGGTAAGACTGCGTACATCCGACCCCCTCTTACCCCACCGTAGGTGGGAGCCTTTGCGGCACTGGGTTAAATGATGATTGATATATACGTTGTTTATGTATTCATTTATCCATTTACCATAAGAGTTTTTTTTATAGAATTTTATTTGGATAGTTTTTATTTATCATAATTCTTTTATTTATTTTTCTTCTTTTTCTTTTTCAGATTACGTTCATTTATATATTAGTGGTGAAATCAAGGCAAGAAAAAGAAAAATGAAGCAAATAAGTCGAAGGAAAAAGAAAGTGAAGTAAAAAAATCGTAGGGTGAGAAAAGATCTTTTATAAGAAGGGAAGTAATCTGAAAAAAATACATAAAAATGAAAATGAAATAATAAATGGGAAGAAGGAAATAGAAGGAAAAAATGGAATACATAAACATAGAAAAGAATTAAAGTAAGAAGACAAAAAAGGGAATAAAAGAGTTGAGGGGGTAAAAATAAAAAGACAAAACTTTTAGGTTGAAAACTGTAAAATGATACATAGGACAATTTGGAGAAGATTTGTGAAAGGTGAAATTTATGGTTTAATGTTTTGCCAAAAAAAAAAATCTGCAATAGCATGTCATCAACCGATCAGAAGATGGGGGGCGAAGGTGGGATTATTCCTATATTGAAGTTAGGTGATACTATTATATAAAGACCGCTGAAGAGTGAGATTATTAGTTTCCACTTTCCAAAAGGAAGTAAGAAGAATTTTTTAGACATTCCAAAATGTAAGTGAGAAAGATTTTATGGAATGAAGGGAATACATACATACATACATATATATATATAGAGGAATGTTCATGTCAGGCCGGCCTGACGGGCTGCCCCGTCCGGCCGAGCCCGTTTGGGCACCTTCCCGGTGGAATTTTTTGATGAAATTTTTTTAGCATGTTCCTCATCAAGTCTAGTTTGTCAATACCAAATTTCAGCTCAAAATTCGATCGGGAAGGTCGTCAAATGATTTTTGCAAGTTAACTGGTCCGGAATATGTATTTTCCAGACCAGTTAACTTGCAAAAATCATTTGACGACCTTCCCGATTGAATTTTGAGCTGAAATTTGGTATGGACAAACTAGACTTGACGAGGAACATGCTCAAAAAATTTCATCAAAAAATTCCACCGGGAAGGTGCCCAAACGGGCTCGGCCGGACGGGGCAGCCCGTCAGGCCGGCCTGACATGAAGAACACTCTATATATATATATATATTGGGCAGATGACTCATAAAGTAAACCATTCATATATTTAATGATAAGCATTGATATAATTGAAATATTCAACTTCTTCAGAAGTTCAGATTGCCTCATCAAACTGCATCTTTGTATGAAGCAGATAAGCTTTTCTGTGAAAGCTCCGGTTTAATTTCCATGTCAGCTGCAGCCTTTTCAGAACATTCAGACGCTATTTCAAACAGATTACTCTGCAGTCTTGAAAATTTGCATCGTTTTGAACATCAAGAGGTGTCATATGATTATATGAGACAATTATTTCCTTAGAAAACTTCATGGTTCCACTGCTTAATTGGGCTAAGAATTATCAGTTGTCCCGGGATGTCTGTTTAGCACATGTGAAGGCCATGAATCAGAGGAAGACGGGTACCGAGGGCGGGGCCTACTCACATTGGATGGGAGATTATGCGCTGCTTCTTCCCTCTCAGCCCCGCTGTTATCATTAAGTAATGGAACAATCAAAACCAGACCTGTAGAACTTGTTGTAAGATAGTCAGTCATCTGCAAAGAAGTGATATCAGGGGCTTGGTGGTAGTAATGAATATTGGTGTTCTGGAATGCATTATCTCATCTATTTCAGCCCGTAAGCTCTCAATGTGACCTTCAAGTGCATGTTTCTCTTCTTTAAGCTCATCCTTCTCGATGCTCATATAGTGAGATTCTGAAGTGAGAGCAGTGTTTTCCTTTCTAAGAGAATCGATCTTTGCAATTAGCCCCCCCACCCCACGCATCAATCGTATGGTTTCTCTTAACATGCAAGCCTTCCCATAATCATGACCAGATGGATCCAAAACTTTAACTAGATCTGAGAATAGTGTTCATATTATCACGTTTCTGTTTCTCCCTCTCGGCCTTGTGGACTCTTTTAGGAGCTTTTTCGAATTTCCATTTCTCCTTCTCAGCCTTTTGTTTTTTTCTGGAACTGGAGACCACATGAGCAGCTCCATCTTTATCAGCTGTTGAAGCTTCACTGTCCATTCTCTGAATATATGCCAAAATCTACAAAAATTGATTTTAGGATTTTAAACTGCATAAAACATACACAACTTAAAGGAACTAACAACCTGATATATTCCTTCTGATAGAATAGTTTGTTATTTTTGAAATGTTCAACCCTGATTTCCTGGGATAGTGTGAATAGTAGTGATAGTGTCATAGTGTTGGATAGTGCCATATATTTAGGACTTGCTGGTACTTTCCTTTCTCTATAAATACAACTGTAAATGATGTACTGGCACATATAGAATTCAATACACTATTTCATTCTCTATAGAAACCACACAATAGCATAAAATTATAACAGATGGTGGTAGAAAAATCTTTAGTCCAGCCTCCAGTATCATCCTCAACTCTTGTCGTTATTTAACATAATCTCCTATTCTAAACTAAACGTGAAAGTTTTTAACATCAAAATGTGATAAAACCAAGTGCAGCCATGTAAGAATTTTAGCATGAGATACTTCATTGAGGAATTTAAAAAACACATTCCAAACAAAGTATTGATTCAAATTTAATTGCAGAGTAACATCACTCAGCATACATACGAACACTATCTTCTCATGCCTGCCACAACTGCTCACTCTTTTAATTTCATAGTGAAAAAAAATCTTTGTGGTGCTACTCTAGCTTGGATTGCTTTAGGCAAGGTTTCCTTGAACTGAAATTAAAGTACACTAAGTAAAAAAAAGGATGACACCCCATCCCTGAGGTCCCCCCAACACCGACCGGATCGCTAGCTGGGAGGATGTAAATTGAGCTTTGATCTCACTCTAATGGAAAGAGAGTGAGACTCAATCCCAAGTCATTCACAAACTTGGCTCAAATCCGGCAATATCATACTAATGTGGAGTTTAGATGATGCTTGTGGTGCTAACAATTTGTGTTATGACTTCGGTACCAATCAATTTTTTCTACCTGTCAAAGCAGAGAATATGATACTAATGTGGTTCGTAATTGTATTTGGCCTGTGCCATAAAGGAGAATTCAGTTTTCTGTTATGGGAATGATTAGAGATCCATGGAATCTCTTGACTTGATGTAGTCATGAAGCACAAATAAGACTGGGGGGCAGGGGTTGGGGCAAAATATGAACTGAAGTGTTAATTAGAAATGTGTGTTTCTTTTTACCCAAGGACTGTGTTCTGCTTGATGAACCATGAATTAGAAAGCAATGTAGGTTTCTTTCTTTACTGAAGCACTGAGTTCTTCTTAAACAAAATTCATATTAAACCATCCCTTTTGTGGGGTTATTAACATTCATGTTTTCTGGGAGTACACATCTTGTAAATGTATAACAAATGGCAGTACCTCAGTGCTTTCTACTTGGGGATCATTTGCTTCTTCCCGTTGAATCATGTCTGGATTGAAGTACATATCGATATTAAGATATTTGTTTGGATAACCAACAAAGTGACAAACTTAAGGCCATTTTCAGATTGCATTCTCAATAAGTCTCACTTATTGACACACATGTATTCTATGGTTTCTTTCTTTTTACCCCCAATCCACGGCTGAATCTGAAAGATATACTTTATCAACTACTTATTTCGAATGAAGTAGTAAATACGCTTATACGCATGGTTATGATTAAGTTACTGTCCTCCAATAACTGAGAAGTAAACAGCCTCACCCTGAGCCGTACAAGAATTTGCCAATCATAACAATATAAGCAGTAAAACTGCACATGTATCATGTATGCATCCAAACCTTAATCATAACAAATGTAGTTGTTATATAATAATCAAATTAATCCACAAGTATGTTACAAAAGAAAGAAAGAAAGAAAGGGGTTTTAGTGATTGGCAGTTGCAAGCTGCAGAGACAAGAGCTCTTCTTCAGGTATGATTCTAATACGGCAATCCGATCTGGGATAAGATGCACAGAGCAAAGCATACCCACTCTCCACAACATCGTCACTAAGCATTCCTTCACTCTGATCCACTGTTCCACTGAGGAGCCGAGCCGGGCAAGTCATACACACCCCCAGTTTGCAGTCATGTGGCACTGACAAGCCAGAGTCCAATGCCTTTGATAGAATACTCTCATACGGTTCAATCTCTAGCTCACTTGTTTTCCCCCCATGTTCAACTACCACTTTGTAAGCCTTGGCGATGCAGGATAAGTTTCTGCCCGGCCGGAGCCACAGGTTGTTCAGCTGGATTGCAGGGAGGCTGACCTGCCTTCTTGGGGGTGTGCAGGTGAAGTAGGGTGTGGTTGCTGAGTGGAGTGTTGTCATTGTTTTGTGGGTGGGACTGTGAAATTGTGCTGAGGGTTTGGTGAGATATGTTTGGTGTAGGATGGAGGGGATGACCAGATAAGGTTTTCTGGTGAGTAATTGGCAGTTTTTGGATAACCAAGAGAAATGGAGCAATTGGGTCACGATTTAGAGCCCAACATGAATTGGGATGAAGTTATTGTTAGCTAAGGGTCCTTGACTATTTCAAAAAAAAAACTAAGGGTCCTTTGACATATTGAAAATGGAGGGAAAGAAAATAGAAATAAAATATGTGAGGAGTTTGGTGCATGGCTATGATTCTTTGCTATTTTTGGTCAATTAAGCGTACTTATTCACCTAAAAACTACCGATAATTGTTTAGAAATTGACCGGGGTAGTTAGAATGGATTATAATAAATGACCAAAAATCTAATGAGATTAACCATGAAAATGAAAGGTAAACATCATAGTAAAAACGGCCTAATGCACGTCTAACCAAAAGTGGAATGTTCTCATTTAGAGGTTAAACAAAACTACAGCTTTTATTTAAAAAAAATTGTTTTAAACCACGCTACAACTATTTAAGAAAAATGATCTTCATACACGTTTTACTTACATTTTTTGTAGACATCGATTTTATCGAAAGTTACGGAGAATTATTATTTGTTAAGTTAGGTTATAGAAAAATCATTTTTGTTTGAACAAATTCATTTGAAAGACCTGTCATATGTTCACGCTACCAACTAATGCCGCCACTATGTATTCATTGGTTTTTGCATCACTCACATTGTTTTTAGCACTCATGTGTAATTTGCACATATGTCTATATTCAGATTTCAGATGTACATAAATCAAATGTTTGTCTGTTATATACTGATACATCTTTTTTGACATTTTATCTTCTGTGTAAGAGTGACTATATTATGAGAAGGATTTTGAGATGTGTAAACCAACATGTACAACACAGTGTGTAAAGACTATAGTGGGCATGGTTGACTATTTTAAAATTAAGAGCCCGTTTGGTAGCACCAAAATCGGCTGTTTTGGCTGATTCTGCTGAAATTTATGATATTCTGGCTGGAGTGGCTGTTTTGGCTGATTCTGCTGATTTAAGAAAAAAATATTTTAAAAATATATTTTATTAATAAATTAAAGAAAAAATTATATGTAAAAATAGCTAAAATGGTCCTCTACGGTAACTTCAGCCAATACAGCCAGAAAAGTAACTCCAACCTTACTTTTTCGGCTTATTACACAATTCAGCGCGCGAAAGTAAAAGTTACGTGTTTGGTGAAAAAGCTGGCCGATAAGCCTGATAAGCCGAAAACAGAGTTCTCCAAACCGGCTCTAAGACACTCAACCATTACGCAAAGTTGTACACGTTCATATACACATACAGGAGAATGAAGAATTGAGACCCAAACGAAGGTCGATCACCTACACTAACTGCCTTAATTACACGAGGTGTTCTGGTTTTGGTAAGGTAGCTGAGCCTCTAAATCTAACTATAGACCGACCTCCGCCATTCAAAAACTACATATATGCACTATTATTTATTGAGTTCCTGCAGAATTGCGCCATTAATTTGATCGAAAACAAAACAAAAATGGGGAGGATAATATCATCTTATAATACTTTGAAATGCTTTATGACTCCAGCAGAATCGGTTATTATCATTGGCGTTCTTCTTCTCTTTGCGCTGCCAATTGACGCCCAAATAAGAACGCCGTGCAGCTCGTCAATGCTCCAGAGCTTCATCCCTTGCTTAAGCTCCCTAATTTCAAGTACCGGCGGCGGCTCACCATCTCCGGCGTCAAAAGCAGCGTGTTGCCAGTCCCTCAAGTATCTCACCAGTAACGCCACCGATTGCCTTTGCCTTATAGTCACAGGATCCGTTCCTTTCCGCGTTCCTTCTTCCAATCCAGCAGCCCTTGCCATTTCCCTTCCTAAAGCTTGCAATAGCAGCGCTGTGCCTCTCCAGTGCAAAGGTAGTTTTAAATATGTCTACGCCACCATTTTTCTTCCAAATAATTACATACTCCGTGTAAATGAGTAAAATAAGAGCCCGTTTGGTAACATGAAAATCGGCTGATGGTTGATTCTGCTGAAATTTATGAAGTTCTGGCTGAAGTGGCTGCATTGGTTGATTCTGCTGATTTAAAAAAAAATGAAATATATTTTATTATTAAAATAAATAAAAAAATTATATGTAAAAATAGCTAAAATGATCATTTACAGTAATTTCAACCAATACGGTCAGAAAAGTAACTTCAACCTTACTTTTTCCGCTTATTACACAATTCAACGCACGAAAGAATATGACTTCATGTAGTGAGGATGTTTTTACTTGGGCTATAATTTGCTGGTCTGGTCTGAACTTGTCTAGTCTGGTCTGATTTTTTTGTATTTGTATAACTATCCAAGTCTGGTCTGATCTGGTCTGGGACAGATTACAATCCAAGTAAAAACATCCTGAGTATTATACTTTTAGATCAGAAATAATTGTCTTGTTTGCATTAACACGTGTTTTAAGAAAGTGGTTGAAAAGATTTAAATTGTGATTGTATTTGAGTATAAAAAGGTGAATTGATATAAACAACACATTATTGCCAAAATAGGAAACAAGACGATTTTTTTAGGACATCCCAAAAAGGAAAACAAGACATGGGACAGAGGAGTAGCAATTTAGACTTAGTTAGGGCGGAGTTCGAAAAGCAGAAAACGGAAAGCAGAATTAAAATAAATCGAACCACAATCAAACTAAACCGAATTACTAAAAAATCGAAATCAAATGTAAAAGCCGAACCATTTTTATTTGGTTCGGTTTTGATTTTTACCCTTCAAAATCAAATGTATGCAATTTTATTTGCTAATCGTGAAACATTAATCCTAATATCATCAATAATCTTTGATTTTATTGTGCTAGAAAGTTATTTGTGTGTTATGTTTAGTTTAATTTATAAATGTATTTGCACATTCATTGCTTATAATAATGTAGCTATATTGATCTATGTAGCTATATTGATCTATCTTGTGTGTTAGGTATGTTTTTTGCAATTTGTTGAATAATAATGATATGTTTTTAATGGTTTTTGCAATTTGTCGAATACTAATACTGACTTCACTATATCCGATTTTTTCACGACTGAAATGTAGCCTCTGCAGCTCCCCTTCCAGCTCCAGGTATTACTACTGCCAAAACATAATACTCTGTAATCTATACGAAGTAGTTCAAATTAAGCAGTTGCAGTGGCGGAACCAGGATTCGTGGCTTGCAGCCTTGCAGGGGCTCATTGACAAAGAAATTCTATATATCACGAATATAGCAATAAATAAAATTATAAAATTTAAATAAAACAACTAATATTAACATCATAACTTTCAATTGTTTTATGCAATCCAGGATCACCAACAATGTCGTCCTCTAATATTTGAACTTCTATTCGAGGCTTTTTAACATTACTTTTAACGTTAGGAGTCGATGAAGACCCATCGACTCTTTACTACCTTTGGGAACCTTTGCATAGAATAGCAACACAATGATTCTTTCTCAAACAACCTAGAAATACTACAATTAAAGCGATTATAAGAATCAACAATTAATAAATTACTACGTATTAATTTAGAAATACCCTAAGAAATTAAAATTAAACTTTAACAAATTATTTTCAGCTTTTCACTAATCATCATTACCAAAATACCAACCATTACAAATCTATCAAAAATCAACATTTAATACATTAACAATTGAAATCAACAAATAAACCCTTCACCAATCACCATTACCAAAATACCAACCATTACAACTACTATCAAAAATCAACATTTAATAAATTAACAATTGAAATCAACAAATAACAAGGGCTACCGCAGACAACTTACCTGGGCTGCAACAAGATGAAGAATCGCCGACTAAGAATTTGAGCCGCTTACGGCTTTCCGTTGTTTAGCACTTCGGCTTTGACAGTTTGAGTTGCTGGGGCGTTGCGCACGGTTCTGCTGGCCGGTTGCGTAGAAGACAACAAAGGGCTCCCCCACTTGCTGTCTTGCTAGTCGCTGGTTTGGTTTGGCTTAAGTGGAACTGCGGTACATCAACTTGAGCGAATAAAAGGCCACTTAATTTGGGAATTGAGCAGTTGGGCTGCTCGGATTGAAGGATTGAGGACTGATGGGTGGCTTAATTATTTGGGCTGCAGGGGCTGATTAATTAAATTTAATATATCTATATACTTGTATATATTATAAAAATAAAAATAAAAATCTGCAGGGGCTGGTGCACCCCCAAGCCCTTAGCTACTTCCGCCACTGAATTGCAGCTAGAATCAGGATCGTTATTTATTTACCGTTAATATATTTTTATGAAATAAATCTCTCCAGGATCTGCGGGTTTTAGTCCAACAACATCACCTACTTCTACAGGTAAATTTAATTTATGTTTTTCTTTTCTCCTTGCGAAGATGTCACAGGTTTCAAGTTTTCAAATGCATAACTGATATCTTAAATTATTTTTTTAGAAATAATAAATTCCATGTATGGTAGGCAAAATTCCATGGCTTCTATCTTTTCGGCTTGTCAAACCAAATATAGCCTAATTGTTTCAAAATTGTGACTTTGGTATGTAATTTCAGTGTCGCCGCCACCAAAAGAGGATAGTGTATCCACAAGAGGTCGGACGACACTACCGCCATCAACTTCTCCAACAGATATCAACTCTGGCTTTGGAACTTCAAGCCCCCCGCCGGGTTTCAGGCCTGATTTGACGCCAGATGCCGCTCCTCCTATTAACCACATTTCACTGTTTATTGTTCTTCTTGCACCACTGGGACCAATCATTCTCCATTTGTACTGATTGCTTGGTGCACTCATTTTCTTTGGTTCTATTCCAGTTATGTCGTCACGCCGCGGTTATACGTAGAGAAAATTCTTTAAACGGGACTAAAACATAGACAAAATGCACAAATAAAACTATCACGGTTTTCATTCTAAAATGGATTTTTTATTCATTAATTCTTAACTGGAGAAGTTCTATAAGTTCTATATTTGTAATAGGATCAAATAAGTTATATTTTGGGAATAAAACATAAATAGTCTTATTTGTGCACTTTATCTATATATGCTACGTTAAAGTCCTATTTGAAGCAATTCATATTATACAAAGTACATATTAAGGTCTACTGAGGGCAGATCGTATCAGGACGGTCTAACGGAAACCGCCGTCAGGCTGAGGCCATTTGGGGACCTTCCCGGTAAAATTTTTTGATGAATTTTTTTGAGCATGTCATTCATCAAGTCTAGTTTATCCATACCAAATTTCAGCTAAAAATTAAATTGGGAAGTCAGTCAAAAAAATTACATACGAAAACTGTGCTTTATATATCTATATAAACATCACAGTTTTCGTAGGGAATTCTTTTGACTGTCTTCCCGATTGAATTTTTAGCTAAAATTTGGTATGAATGAACTAGACTTAATGAAGAACATGCTCAAAAATTTCATCAAAAAATTCCACTGGAAAGGTCCCCAAACGCCCTCGACCGGACGACGAATCCTGTCAGGCCGGCCTGACAAGATCACTACTCAAGGTCTACCTATATTTTTCCTTTTATTTGTACATAATTCCTATTATTTGTACTCTCTCTTGTACGATGTAGTGTTGTAGACTTGTAGTATTACTTCCTGCAACAGTGCAACCTATATACTTGTATATGTTCAGCTATGTAAAGTGTAAACTCATACTACGATGTAGTGACGTAGTGTTGTAGACTTGTAGTAATACACTACGTATTTTTCAATATCGCTTTTTTCCTTTCAAAGATCCATTTCATATCAGAATGATAATGCTGGCGGCCCGATTAGAGTTTCCTTTCAAAGCCAGTAGGAACATCTCTTTCCATAGATGTCCTTGAAAACCATGATGCCAACATGTCACGAAGTCAATTAAGGGGCGTTTGGATCTGATTCTTAAAACTGCTTCTGCTCCCTGAAGGAGAAGCAGAAGCTGAAGTGTTTGGGTGAAAGTGCAGGAGTGATTCTGGTGCTCAAATTTGCTCATAGAATCATTTTTTTAGAAGATAGGGGTGACCAGCTTCTGAAAACTGATTCTGCTTCTGCTTTAAAAAAATAAGCAGAAGCAGAAGCAATTCCAAACACCCAGAAGAAAAACGGTGAAAAGAGTTTAAGCCCGATGTTTAATTTAACATATTCGTTCCGTCACCAAGTAATTCTACATATTCCGAAAAACGGTGAAGGAGTTTAAGCCCGATGTTCACTAACGGAAGTAGGATAGTTGACGGCACATCAAGGGTAAACAAGCCAAGTTAAAAGTAAGGTATGAGATTTTAACAACAATGTACAAGTTTAAGCCCATTTTATGTCTCTTGATATTGGCACAATTATTAATAGTGGTTGAAAAGATAAAGATTGTGGTTGAACTTTGAATATAATAAAGTGAAATGTTGTGGACCACATATTTTTTTCAAAAGAGAAATGTGACACTTATTTTGGGACAACCCAAAATGGGACATGTAAAATGAGACAGAGGGAGTAACTCCAAAATTAAATGTTGAACTGTATTCTCTGATCACCTAGCCTGCGTAGCTTCTCTACACCTTTTGTTTAGAAAATTTCCAAAAAGTCACCGCATCAATGAAACTGACACGTAGAGGAATAATGTCACTGGTGGCATCACGCAGAGGAAATTCCCAAAATACAGATTTTTTTTTGCGTGACAAGCACAAACACGGTAATTCAAATGTGGGTACGAAGAAAGGGATCAGATCCTTTGCGGTATGGCAAAGTCTCTTGCGCATCGGACAACAGCTAAGAAGGCTTCGAGATCAGCGAAAGAATGGACCCTAAAATCTTCTTCGGTTGTTGAACTTTTGATCGGATGACTGTGAAGAAGAAGACACTTTACCTTACTCTAAAGCTAGACAGAGGCTCCCAATGCAAAAATCAGGTGTTGGGGTTGCCATGCCTAGCGAAAATGTGTGGGGTTATTTGACAAATATAAAATATCATTTTATGAAGTGTCATAACTTATTCATTTATACTCTAGGTTTTACAAAAAAAAATGTCAAAATTTATAACTTTTTATGATCTTTCATACGTAGTATGATACAAATATTGCATATATTATGTATAAAGTTTAGAAAAATTGAAGTTTCAACTGTAGGAGGTTATCGGATTCAACGTTTTTCTTAAATAGATTCAAGTGCTAAAATTTATATCTCACTTTTATAATAATTGAAACATGTAAAAAAAAGTTATGTTAACAATGAGATCTTAATTTTAGAACTTGAATTTATTTAGGAAAAATATGTGTCTCAAAACTTTCTACAGTTGAAACTTCAACAAATAAATCAAATTTTATATATGAAATATTAGTAATTTAGTATCATAGAAAAATCATAAAAAGTTACTCGTATTAATTTTGATATATTTTTGTAAAATTTAGAGTGGAAATAAAAAAGTTACACCACTTAATTAAAAAAATGGGATTTTACATTTGCCAATCCCCGGCCAGCCTACCATGCCTATCATCTCAATGACTCAATCGAAAACTCTCGTTCTGAATCCATCACTCGACATCAATGGCAGATATAAAACATTTTTGTTTGGAAGAATTCGGCTTATATTGATAACAGATAATTCAGAGTATGGGTCAAATGTCAAAAAGAAATCTGACAACCGTTATCCGGCGAACCAGACTCGGAATTAATCACCTCCTGAGAAGCAATATAATTCGTTGATCCATAAGTGGGAAACCTAAAGCCAAAAATGGTTACCGTATTCCTGTCATCCCCCACATCCAAAATCAACGTCTTACAAACAGGAATATCAAAACCAAAAGAAAGCACACAACAAAATAAATAATCACTAAAGGAGAAAATAAAACAGATAAAGTAGATCCTCTGTCCGAGCCTGCCAAACCACATGATCACCCTAGACTTGCTCGCACTCCATGGCGGCGGTTCAGGAGGGGGATGTGCCCGCCGCTCAGCCGCCTCCATAGTCAAACATTTGTGTTGATCCGTCAGGCATTGAGTTGTAGCCAGATTACCAAGTCCTCTGCAATTCCATGTACCTGCACTCATCATCTTCCTCCTTCCAAGAACAAGGGTTGCCGCCGAACAAGGGACCTCCAAGCGGACTCGTTGATGGAGCAGCAGATCCCTAGCTGTTGCAAAACTGAGGCGAACCAATGGACTCGCTGAATCCCTTGCTGCTGCATCCCGAGTCGACATCGCTGAATTCCGATCTCACAAAAAGTCCAAACAATCCGAAAGCAAAATCCAAACAATCCGAAAGCAAAATCCAAACTTCGAACCCCCGGTGCCGCGGCCGAAACCGCCACTAAACAAGCCTAGGCCATCCTAGATCGATGGTGGCTCTTTGACATAAAATAAAGTTAAACCTTAATATCAGACTTTATGGCAGATATAAAACATGTAAACTCCAATATTATGTTTATCATAAAAGAAATTCTTTTTTGAACAAATCATAAAAGAAATTCTTAATATGCCACACTTATTTTTGACAAGGAATTTTTATCTATTCAGGACTTAAAAGATAATGATCAACCCAAGATCCGAAAGATGAAGTATGTCCGCATAGGGCTCAAATGGTTAAAACTATTAATCGGACCTAAAATTCCATAGGTTTACATTTATTTAATTTCTAAATAATTGTGTGGCTAACTTTCAATGATTTTTTCTTCACAAAAGTTTACTAGTTTAGTAAAATTAAATGATATTTAAAACTTAAAATACAAAAATTATAAAATTCACAACAACTTAGGTCTTAGATTGATGATTTTCAATCATTCAGGTCCTATATCGATACATTTTATCTGTCAGGTTCCAGATTGATAATTCATCTATCTTTCATGATGCCCCCCTTTATATAGCGGGCTCTGCTCAAGGGTATTTTGGGTATTGCATATCACAAGGGTATTAAACCGGTCCACATGTCTTCAAATGAGCGGGATGTGAATTTAATACATAAATTGTCCTAAATAGGAGTAAAAACGTTTTGAAATTCCAAAATAGGAGTATCATGTTTTTTATTTCTTGAATAAGAGTAATCTGCCATGTTTGGAAAAAAATGCCATGTTTAAAGCCTTGTAATGTCAAACTTGGCAGAAATTTACTCCTATTCAGAAAATAAAAAACATGATACTCATATCATTTATCATTTACTCGAACACATTCAACTTAATCCTCACCGTTCAAATATTCCTATCATTTAGATTCCTCACAGACTATATTAAGGTTGTGGGGATATTTGAGTACAATGTTTTTTCGAGTAATTACCGTCACACTTAAGATATTAATGTCAATAATATAACTAATAATAGTCAACATTATTTTACGACACCTATTTTGAAAATAAAATTAATATTTCTATATTGAAATTTTACACCATTTTTTTGGAAAGCATTTATTTATTAGGAATTTCAGAGTCAAATGCATAAATAGTACCTTAACTATTGGTATTGTTACGGTTTGGTACATTAACTCTTAAATGAATCAAATCAGTACCATAACTACATAAATGTTTCAAGTTAATATTTTATTCAAAATGTGGTCAAAAAAATTATTCAAAGCGATCAAATGAACAGTGGCGAGTGGGGGCGAGTTCATACTACTTCCTCAGTCTCGTAAAATTCTTCAAACTTATCTTGTTGTCCGAAAAAATCTTTCTATTTCCCTTTTTGGAAAGTTTTGTGATGCTAACATTGATTTACATTTTTCTTACTCAAGCACAATCATATATTTCTACTTGACTCTGACTTTCTTAAACTCCGATCCAAGTCAACCAGAAAGAATTTTACAAGACAAAGTGAGTATATATTATGGAGTATTTCACACATGTCACAAGTAGCTAAACACATTAAGAAAAATAGTACAAACTTCATGTTTTTTTTTTATAAAAGTACAAACTTCATTATAAATAAAACTAATCGGTCAGTGAAAAAACATGAAATCATGCTTAATATATTTGACATAAATTTTTTAATTTTTGATGTTATGTTAATAAAAATCATTTGAATAAGGCCATGTAGTGTATGTACGTATTTAGAATTAATGTAAATTGTGGATGCAAAATTGTATCTAACAATGAATTTATATTGTGTCAAATGTATTGAAATATAGTTTATCTCAAAAAATGTAATGAAGTATAGATTAACCCTAAAAGTGAGTGTATATGTTAAGTCATTTTAAATGTGATTAAAACTAAGTCATTTTAAATGTGATTAAAACTTTAAAAAGAAAACAAGGAAGATAAAAATTAAAGTTTTAAATAAAAGGTGGAGGAAGGTTTGGAATGTGATTATTAAAACTTAAATAAGGAATAAGGTAAAAATCAAAAGTTTGAAAACAAAGAGGGTGGAAGGGGTATCGATCCCCCAAACCTCACGAAAGAATTCAAACTCATGCCCTCCTTTGCCACTATACCACATCACCCTTTACTTACAATTTGCGTAATTAAAGTATAAGATATATTTGCTAAACACACAAATATATCTAAATTTTAATTTTTAAATATATATATATGGGGGTTGGGTGGGGGTTGAGTGGGCGCAGCTACCCCTGCCCCCACCCTGGATACGCCACTGCATATGGACAAAAATAAGGTGAAGTGCACTTACACATAGAATTTTGGTCACCACGTGTGATTTTTTTACCTCAAATTTGAATAAAATCTCAATTTGAAACATTTATGTATAGTTAAGGTACCGTTTTGATTCATTTATGAGTTAAAGCCTTAAAGGTATCAAACCCTAACATTACCCATAGTTGTACCATTGATACATTTGACCCGAAATTTCATTTTGTATAGTAATATTTGGATATATAAAACCGTATATAGAAATAGAATCACAATATTTAATTATGAAATTAATACTAATGCTGAGCCAGAATTGGACTAATCTGATCTTCCTGGATATCGATTATGAGGTCTGATGCAACAGAATATTACTGGTAATACCAACGGCAACTTGGACTACAAGCAGCATTGCAGAAATGCAACTTGAACTTTGAAATTCGATGGTTATCAATGCAATTAGCGTAAATTTATTTCAGAAATTTGGTCGCAAGAAATCGCCTGTAGGCCTTTTGCGCCGCCACATGCTACGGTGGTGTAGGGTTTCTACATCCGGATATTCAACTTCCAACTGCTACTCGCTATCGTTTTGCAGCGTATGTCCACACACCTCATCTCACTTAAACCTCTCTGTATCGTACATGCACGCACATTTCTTTGTTTCTGTGCACTATTGCGGGTTTAGACTTTAGACTGCTTTAGCCCAAGTTGTTGTGGCTTGAAAATGGCTAGGAAGGTACCCTTAATTTCGACTTATGATGAGCTTACTTTGCTTGTGTTTATAGCAAAGGTGACATTGCTTTCCATTATTTGCAATGGAACCAAAGACACTATTTTTTTGGTTTGGGAATGTGATGGAATAAAGCAAATGCCTCACTAAACTGTCTTTACTTTTTTCTTATAAGCTGCGGTCAGTCCATGCAATTTTTTACACGATTTTCAGGATGGGTCATCCGGAAACAGTCTCTGTACTTGTACATGGTAAGGCTGCGTACATCTGACCCCCTACCCCATCGTAGGTGGAAAGACTTTGCGGTGCTGAGGTAATGATGATGATGATAGCAAAGATGACATTGGATGTGAACACAAAAACTAAATGAAATTCAAACTAGGTAGTACTAACTCCTATATTCCTAAAGTAGAAGAATTTTAGAAAAAAGTTGGGTAAGAGATGTTTAAGTGGCAACTAAAGCTAAATTCTCACAATGAGTTGACACCAAAAAAAATTGTGTCAAAAAAAGGTTGACACCCCATCCGGGCCCCCAACACCGATCCGGCGGCACGATGAGAGGATGTAAATTGGACTATAATCACAATCTGACAGATAGAGAGTGTGGCTCCGTCCCCGGTACTTGACACAAAAAAAATTGTGTCAAGATTCTACTTTGGATGTCTGGGGTCGACTGGGTCATATTCTGGAATAGGACTAAGGACAGTAAGATCCTACTTATCATCCATATTCTTGAAATATTAATTTGAGTAGCTAATTTAGAAAAGGGAGTAATTTCTAGTATATCATAAAGATCAATGGTCGTAGACTTGTCCTCACATGTTAACACTCCCACGATTCGCAATAAGTTACACTGGGTGATTTTTTCTTTCACATGTGCTGTTTTATCAATTAATATAATGCCTTGTTCCATTTTATTCTTATTTGTCCATCTTAATTCTCAATGACTCCTTTTAACGACTCATTAAGGATAGGTAATGCTGTCAAGTTTTTCTTCATTTAGATACCTTAATCTGTGTTTCTTCATTTTTTCTGTCAAGTGTTTCGGTCATGACGACTTTGGAGTGGTCTCAATATGGCCTTACTCAAGTACCATTCCTAAAGCAATTCTCTAGTGATCATGATCGTTTTCACATTTTTAGACCTTAGGTCATACGATCCAGGTCACTATCTCACTACCACGATTGGCACTAAATGTTATGACACCGACTTCAACATAGTTGGGTGGGACTAAGGGGATGATGAGGGTGAAGAGGCAAAACATCTTTTTTAGTAGCAAAGGGAAAAAGTGAAAAACACATTATATTTAGTTGATTATGCTTGGTTCATTCCTTCAAGCAGCTATGAAACTGATTATTCTGAATAGAGTGCCATGACTGATAGGGTAGTGAGGCATGGTTATAATTTATTTCTCTGAAATCAACCTTTAATGCAATAGTTGAAATCAACCTTTAATGCTTGTATGAGTTCTTCCATACAAGCATATACGGGAGTAATTCATATTAGTTAACAGCTATGGATGCTAGTTTAATGGTTCAGGGGATTGGATTTTTAGTTTAAGAGTAGAGGTGTGGTTCCATAAAATCCCATTTCCTAGCATGAGAATAAAATGAGCCTGAAAGCTTGAACATTTCTTAATTTATGTAAATACAATATGAGTAATTTTGATAGGGGGTTAGACATTAGATACCTTTTTGCATTTGGTTCTTTTAAAAGATCCATATATTTGTGTTATCCGTTAGCATCTTGAATTTGTGGACCATTAAATACGCCAAATCATTATATCTGGTTTCGTTAAATTCAATGTTAAGAAGTTCTGCTGTTTCAAATACATAGGGCTGTTCTGATGCTATATTAATATATTTAAGTTTACGTTGGAGCAGCAATTCTGGATATTCTTGTGACTATCAATCCTAAGAAATTTCAGCAATGCCATTAGAAAAAATAACATACTTGCTGGCCATCATTCATTAATCTACTTGGAGGGTGTTTCAGTCATTTATCTGTTTTTTCTCCATCAAATATCTTATTTGATGATGAAGGTATCCATTAATCTCTTTTCAATCTGGATGGATTATGGCCACCATCCGTGGCCTTTTTTGGGGATTAATGGTCATTATGCTCTTTGAAGATAAAGGTGAAGAGAATACGAACAAGGGTGGGGATCAATTACCCTAAAAGCTGACGTTGACTATCCAAAATTTCTAAGTTAATGTTAAAATAGTGGGTTCCTATTGTCCAAATTAAAGTCTTCAGGTTAAGAAAGGTTGGTAAAACATGAGACCTTGTACCAAGTAGAATTGTAGCCCTTGTTTTTTTCATTTTAAAATTTTTATATGATGATACATATAAACTGTATTAGAATATCTATACTTTTATTTGAGATGCATTTGTTATTACATAGAAGTCTGTCGTTGAATATCTAACTTACAACTTACATACAGAGTATTAATTAATTTTAAAGGCTACTGCATTTTCTAACTGTACATTGGATTTCGAGAAAACAATGGGCTTAAACATGACAATGGTGAGAAACTAAAATGTTTCTAAAACTAGTATTTCTATTATATATATATATATATATATATATATATAAGGCATGGTTCAGGTGAGAATGGTGTCTTAGGAGAGAAATAAGAATGAAATCTAGCCTTTCATTCATTCAATTGGATGGCTATAGAAAATGCTCGTATGACTTAATAATCAAGTGTTTATAAGGAAACATTAAAAGTGAAGACGTATCATCCAATCAACATTTATTGCGGAGGTCTTTTTTGTAAATTGATAATGCTTTAATTATCCATCAGCATAGAGCCTAAAACCAAAATTCCTATCATTCCACCACCGCCAAAATTGAAAGGCGCAATCATGATATTGCATTATCCAATAAATTGAAAAGTGTAAATCATTATTTTAAATTTAGAAGCATTCCTCTATTATATTAGACACGTGTATGCATTTTGGAGAAACAGATAACATCAAGTGCATTAAATAATGTGTTAAGAGAGCAATTTTAATTAAATTTATATATTCACGTATGTATTTACAATTAGGTATGTTACAACATGATTGTTATTTATACTTATCAGTTTTTATAAAGTGCAATATTAATGTGTCAAGAGTGGATATGTGTTAAAAGAAAGTGCGCCAAATTCTAGTGCATGAAATAATGTTTCTAGTACAATAAATGTTGTAGGATTTTAGCTGCATGAATGATCTAAAATTGTTGTTATGTGCAATAATTATAATTAAAAGTGTAATTTATTATAATTGGAATATGGTGATATTGAAATACTAATTATGCATTACTGATCAAAGTTTATGCACCCAAGTAAATTTGAAATGCACTTTATAGAGTTATTTAAGTATATGTCGTTCTAACCAAAATCCCTTTCTCACATTTGACCTCTTTGAAATTCATGGTCTTTAGTAAATAAAAAATAAATGATATCTGAGTTATAGATATAATTTTAAGTTAAAATGGTACACGTCGAGTTTTTTACAAGTGTGAAGTAACAATTGAGAAGTGCATTAACACTGTATATATGTGTGCACTTTTAATAAGTAAAAGTGCAATTTAAAAATTGAAGAAATAATTGCATCCCTAACTAATTCAGAGTGCAACATGTGTGGTATAGTTTTCCACGACTTTGAGTGCTCTAGTTTTTTAAAAAAGTGCATCGAACCAAATTTATAGTGCACTAGTATGTATGCATTGTAATAAATTAAACATGAAATTTTCAATTTTAAAAATAATAAGAAAAACGAAGTTAGGATATACTAAATATGCAGGTGGGATTAATGTCATAAACGTAAAAGAAAATGTAGAAACGAAAAACAAAAAGGAAGTTAATGAAGTAACCTCCCAAAAAAAGCATTAATGTGAAATAGAGAAATAATATAAGGCAGGAGAGTTATAACCGTAAAGGAAGTTAATTAAATGTAACCAAGAAATGGGGAGAAATTTTAGGATGCTATGCACGGTGGGAAAAGTTAAAAACGATGAAATCACAAAATCATCCTCACATCCAATACGAGATCATCTCCATTAATGGGTTGATCTAATGGTGGATATTAATTCTTATTTCTCTCCTAAGATTATATTCTCACATGGTGGATATTTATTCTTATTTCTCTCCTAAGATTATATTCTCACATGAACCTACATATTTTTATGTGTTCTACTTGAATTTGACTGGAACAACTTCAAAGTTGAATTCTAACTTAAACGTGTGGTGCCCACACAAGCATATTTAGCATGAACTCAAACCTTTACTTTCACTAACTTACTAGAAACCTTTGAAAGCTTGAACCATATATCATGAAAGTTGTTTTCCTGTTTTCTTCACTCCCTTTCCTCCGGTAAACAGCCGGTCAGTGTTGCCAAAAAGGTGATTCCATTTTGCTTGTGGTGATGTATGTGGCGGTGGATAATGGTGGATCTTAAAGTGTTGTTTCACTACATCATTCTGAGCAAGATGTTGTTTTTGGTTTTGTCAAACCATGGCCAGATACACCGAACAGAGTTGGGTAGCCAGTTAGCCACAGGAGCTCCTGTGTGTGCACTGTGTAGGAAGACTTGTTTCCAAATTCTGGGATAGTATATTTCTGTATTCAACAGTTTCTTTACTTTTTTCCAACCGTTCTTTTCTACATTTCAACAGTTTTTACTTATATGCGTGTGTTACTGGTCTATGCGTGAATCTTACTGGTCTAAGGGACACACCTGACTGATATCCTGTGGACAACACCATTTCAAATATGAGCACCGCGTTTCTTCCTAAATTCGATCTCTTTGTATATTTGCATACAGCTGAACATTTCTGCTGCATCTTAGCTATGAATGAGTCCATGGATATCGACAAACCAGGTGCCAGTAACAGAAATACACCTATAAATAAGGAAAATGGACATTATCTGTATCCTGTGTCTCCCAATGAATCAGGTGAAGGCTTTCCATATGCTCCTGAAAATTGGCCTAATCCTGGTGATATATGGCGTTGGAAGGCGGGGAAAAGAATAGCATCTTCAGGATACTTTGCGGACAGGTACCTGTATCCACCAAGCAGTCTTGCACATGTTGGGAAACCTGTACAGAGGAGGACCTTTGCTAGTAAACTGTCAGTTGAACAATTTATCCGGGCAATGTTTCCTGGCACAGATGTGAATGCATTCTTTGCCACATTTTGCTGGAAGATTCCCTCAAAGCAGCTTATGTTAAAAGGTTAGTGTTAAAGGACTAATTTTTTAAAATTGTATCGCAGTTCGGATTATAATAGTGGTTTAATGTTTTGTTAGAATGTCAAGTGAGTTACCTGTAGTTGGATATGTCTGCTTTACTGAAAAGATTCAAAGCAACATGCTGTATTTCCAGTTAAGAATTGGAAGAAGTATGTCGTTATTTGGGGTGCATAAATCCTAATCCTGGATAATAGGAGGCTTCTAATTTGAGTTAAGAACTTTTTCAATCTGCTCAGAACAGAAATTCCTATACCCTTGTAATACTGTGTCGGTGTTTGTCTATATGTTTTGGCTCCCAAAATGTTATTTAAAGTAAGATGATTCTGATAGGGATCTACCTATCTTAGGAATTGGGCCTACTAGATTGTTAAGAATTGGGCCTAATAGACCAAGAATATTAATAAGTGTAATAGACTAGTATAAATAGAAATAAGTTGGGAATAGTAAGGAGGCTGTTTAGACGTTTAGTCTGGGACTTGGGAAGATCGAGAACTTTTCTCTTTCTTTTGGGGGGCTTCGGCTCATTGGGGGCTTCGGCCATAGTTTCTTTCATCTTTCTGTAATTGTTCCTCTTCAATCAATAAAGTGTTCAATTGTTTTCTTGTAATCTTTCTGAAAACTGTTCCGGATTCTTGGAGGTTTCTATCATTGGTATCAGAGCAGGCGATCGCTGGATGAGACATACTCGATCAAAGATGGAAGGGCGTATGAATGACGTCGAAAGGAGTTTGACTGAAATTGGAAGAAATATGGAGGAATTTGACAGAAATCAGCGTGAGATGCGGGAGATGCAGATGAATATGGAAAGGAACCTGGCAGCGAGTATGGCGGCGATGCAAGCTAGTTTCGCCGACTTGCAGAAGAAAAATTCCGATCGATCGAGGAGTCGATCGCAACATTCTAATTCATCACATCGATCATCGCGACACCAACATACGAAGAAAAGCGACAGTTTAGAAGGGTCGGATCACAACTCAGATCATTCTACATCCTATAATCATCGCAAGTTCCTCAGTAATCATCGCCATCAGTATCCGGCTGGGAGAAAAATCGATTTACCAATCTTTAATGGTAAAGATGTCTTCGGTTGGTTAGTCAGGATGAACCGATACTTCCGATTAAATAAAACGGAAGAAGAGGACAAAATTGACACTGCAGTTGTCGCCATGGAAGACCAAGCTCTGAGCTGGTTTCAATGGTGGGAAGGACAAGCACATCGTCAGACTTGGGAGTCGTTTACAAAGGCTCTGACCAGACGTTTTCAACCAGATATGGCGCAAGATCCTCTGGGACCGTTGTTCAGTTTGAAGCAAAAAGGGACGGTGGAGGATTACAGGGATAAATTTGAAGTTGCCATAGCTTCGCAAGGGCATCTGACTGAGGAGGTACTTAGAGGAGTGTTCGTCAAGGGGTTGAAACGCGATATAAGGGCTGAATTGAAGCTATATTCAACCAGAACCCTAGCTTCAGTTATGGATACAGCATCATTGATTGAAAACAAGAACAATGAAACTAATATCATGAAGAGTAAAGATGATGGAAAGAAGATCTTGAAAACAAATTCATCAGGTGGACAGAGCTATCATAAATGGGGAGATGGTAGTCGAAGTAGTTATAATCTGGCATCTACAAATCAATTGATGAAGAACTCCGATGGTAGCAAGAAGCTGGAAGAAGGATCAAGTTCTGTTTCTAAGAAGACAAGTCCCAGATTATCACAGAATGAGCTGCAAGAAAGAAGTAAGAAAGGGTTATGTTTTAAATGTGGTGAAAACTGGAATCGGGGTCACATCTGTAGTATGAAAAATTTTAAAATGATGCTGGTAGAACTATCTGAAGGGGAGGAAGCTGATGTTGACTATAGTAAGGATAAAGTAGAAGAAGGAATACATATGGAAGCTAAAACTATGCAATTATCTGTATTGGACAAAGAAGGAACACCACCCATGAGAACATTCACTGTCTTGGGAAATCTGAAATGGATGACTGAGGAAAAGAAGGTGAATATCTTGATTGATTGTGGAGCTACTCACAATTTCATTTCACAGAAGATTGTTGATGAATGGAAGATACCTTTTAATTGCATTAAAGGGAATAAAGTGCAGATAGGGAATGGGGAATTTCTTCCCAACTATGGTAGGTGTGATGGGTTGACAGTGGATGTACAAGGAAATGAAATTCTGCAGAAATTTTACATGCTGCAACTGGGTGGAGTTGATATCATGCTGGGAATGGAATGGTTAGCTGGCTTAGGAGATATGGCAGTTAACTTTCAGAATCAGACCATCCAATGGGAGGTACATGGGCAGAAGGTACATATACAAGGAGATTCTTTATTAAGGCAACTGGGAGCTTACAAGGAAATGAAGAGCCTGATAAATAAGAAGGGAGAAGGAAAATGGCTGAATTATCAGTGGTTATCAAAGGATATGGAAGGAGAAGGTGTACAGAAGCATGAAGTTGTTGTCCCCTATGTTGCAGCAGGCTGCACCTTAGTCTCCACAGAAGCTGCAGGAATCAATGTTTTGGATAAAATGATATGGCACCTGTGTAACTCTGCTGCAAAGTATTTATGGCAGATGATAGAAGTAGTAAAACTCATGATCCAGCAGTCAGTCAAGTATTGGAAGGGAAGGGGGACTAGGATGAGGGGAAAGGAGGAAGTCTTGGCTGTTTCCTATCACCCACCTTGAGGGCAAGGTGGATGTTTAGGGAGGGAGTATTGATAGGGATCTACCTATCTTAGGAATTGGGCCTACTAGATTGTTAAGAATTGGGCCTAATAGACCAAGAATATTATTAAGTGTAATAGACTAGTATAAATAGAAATAAGTTGGGAATAGTAAGGAGGCTGTTTAGACGTTTAGTCTGGGACTTGGGAAGATCGAGAACTTTTCTCTTTCTTTTGGGGGGCTTCGGCTCATTGGGGGCTTCGGCCATAGTTTCTTTCATCTTTCTGTAATTGTTCCTCTTCAATCAATAAAGTGTTCAATTGTTTTCTTGTAATCTTTCTGAAAACTGTTCCGGATTCTTGGAGGTTTCTATCAGATTCACAGCATTTTTAGAACTCAAACACTAAAATCATATATGTCACTAATTGAAGCTTCTTGATTTGAGTGTTCTGTGCTTTGTTTATTTTGAACCCGATCACCACATGTGAAGCTAATTTACTACCAGTCAATCAAAACGCGTTTTTGAAATGATGGGTTTTCAAACCAAAAAGGATGTTTTCAGAACACATTGTTTTCAAACAAGTAAAGGGTGAGATTGGTCCTCGAAGTTGCATAAAAAGGGTCAAATAAGTCCTTATATAGGAAACTCTGTCCGGCCATCGCCATTTGGGGTTGTTCCCGGTGGAATTTTTTGATGATTTTTTTTAGCATCTTATTCATTAAGTCTAGTTTACTCATACCAAATTTCAGCTAAAACTTCAAACGGGAAGACATTCAAATGAATTCTTGAAGATAACTGCGCAGTTATCTTCAAGAATTCATTTGAATGCCTTCCCGTTTGAAGTTTTAGCTGAAATTTGGTATGAGTAAACTAGACTTAATGAATTAGATGTTAAAAAAATCATCAAAAAATTCCACCGGGAACCGCCCCAAATGGCGACGGCCGGACAGTAAGGACAGTAAGGAATTTCGAGGACCAATCTGACCATTTACTCGTTTTCAGACCATAGCACATTTTCTAATCACATACCCAAATAGCCAATTGATCCAGCAATAGAGGTTAACTCACACTCAATGACAATAAATCATTATTTTTCAAGGGATATAGAGAAGAGGCAACAAATTATCCTTATATAAACACTTACTTAAATTATGATAATAAGTTTTGAAACTATTCAATGGAAGCATTGTTTTTGCTAGTATAACCATCTCTATTGTCAAGAGGTAAGTGCTAATATAGAGTGGATTATAAAAAACAGAGAGTGGATTATTAGAAAAATGTAGATTTATAAAGAAGTTAAAAGGAAGCTGAGGGAGACTGAACACAACATGAGTTGAGGTGTTAAGAAGACATTAGACTATTAGAGCATTGAGGCTTCTTTAATATATAATGACCTCATCCTCTTTCCCCATTATATGTCATATTCTTCTGCTTTCGCATTGTCGTATTTTTTCATATTCCATGTTTGTGTTTTCTTACATGCCTCTCTATGTCAATGCATGGCTCTCAACAAGGAGTTATAGTCACTTTTAACAGAACATCTTGTTGGTAGAATTGTACAAACCCTCGTGACTTTTTTTATTCTGGGTGGGTGGTATATTTTTGCTTTTATCAATATCAAAAGTTGAAAGTTAAATTGACACACAGTGGTGTCTATATTACAAGATTGGACCAGGAGTGCGGGGTGCCGAGGTTCATAGCATAATTATAGCATAATTTTCATGGTTGTTCCTAAACATTCTTATGATATCTACTTCCAAGACTTAATGAATGCCTTTACAAATATGTAATCAATTTAATTTTTTATATATATTCTCTTAGGAAGATATAATTCATTTATTAGACTTTTTTTTTACCAATGAGACTATATGGTTATGAGTTTGACTGGTAGAAGTTTTCAGAAGATGTTACTATTTGGTGTAGTTTAGATGTATGATCAGGATTAAGAAGTTTGTTTCTTTCTGTGTTGAAGAACAGAAAGTGAAGGGCCTATGTCTCATTTAGAACGTGATGGTTGCAAGGCCGGTAACACTATGTGCAGCAGTTTATTAGAAGGTGCTGATCCTCTTCCGATGGAAGGCATGTTTTGTGACATTTGCTGCAGTGAATCCAGATTTTGCCGAGAATGTTGCTGTATTCTTTGTTGCAAGACCATCAACACTGGAGTTGGTGGTTATAGTTACATCAAGTGTAAAAAGAACGTCCAAGATGGCTATATTTGTGGACACATTGCCCACATAGAATGTGCTCTTAGAGCTTATGTGGCTGGAACTGTAGGAGGAAGCATAGGCCTGGATGCAGAGTATTTTTGTCGACGCTGTGATTCAAAGACGGATCTAGTTTTGCATGTCATGAATCTTCTTCATACTTGTGAAACCATTGAATCCATTGATTCACAGGATGAGATTGATAAGATGTTGAGCCTTGCCATTTGTATGCTGCGTGGCTCACAGAAAATGACTGCAAAGCAATTACTAAAACATATTGAATCAGCAGCAGCAAAGGTATGGCTCAGTGGAAATTAAATCAATGTTAGTTTGTGCTGTGGAACTTACATTTGCTGCTTTTAAGGGCTATGAATAATCTTTATATATGATATTGTAACCAGCTTAAGATCGGATTTGACTTCAGAGATGTGTGGAGTAAGGAAGCATATGAAGTGACTGGTAATTTTTACCAACCTGTTTTTAGATGCTTTTTGGTGTTACTTTATCCTATTTTTTTTTTCCAAATAAAACTTGTAATATTGTTGTGTGAATAAATGCACAAGTGATGGAGAAAGAAAAGTACTCTCCTGTTCTAAATTATTTGTCATATTAGCATGATTTCCATTTTAGGAATTCAATGCATATTTTGTATTAATGTCCTGAATTTTCCCTATTGACTTTTTCCATATTAAATATTTAAATGTTATTTTTCCTTGAAAAGATATATAAAGCATTTAATTTAAAACTTATATAGGGATATAAATGTTTTTTTTTGTAATATTCATTAATATGTGCATACTTTTCTAATAAGTCAATTAAATTGGGTTTGAGCCTGGAGGGGAATAATTTTAATTGTTGTCCCAAAGTTTTGCATTATATGAAGGAAAAAATCCCGAATTAGGAGTAAAAAAATTTGAAAATTCCAAAATAGAACTGCTATGTTTTTATTCCCAAAATGAGAGTAATTATTGCCAAGTTTGGAAAATACTGCCATGTTTAAAGTCAGGTACTGCCCAAACATTACAGTAATTAGTCCTATTTTGGGAATAAAAACATGATAGTCCTATTTTGGAATATACAAACGTTTTTAGCCATGTTTAGGGTAATTTCCCTTATATGAACTGTCACAAGTATATATATGGAGTTCTGGTATGTCTAATTGCTGCAACAAGACAAAGTAAGGATAGTATTGCTAAATTGTCACAAGCATCTAGTAAGGATGGTATGGCTGTAAAGATTAGTAAATAGACTAATTTGTATAAATATGTTTCAGGTATCATTTACTCTTCCCTAGGGCCTGAAATTCACACATTCCCAAACTTTGCTACAATGTGATGGCATGAGTTACTATAATGTCATATCAACATTTTTATAATGTTTTTTTTTTCTTTGATACATGGTTTTGTACTAGTTTCCTTGTTGATGCAAGAGAGTTTACCTCATAACAATAGAAACAGTTTACATGAGTTAGCCAACTATGAAGACAAAGAGCAAGAAAACAACAGAACTGCACCACCCGGAATGGTGTCTTCAAATTTTGATCACCGAGTTGAATCACTTAAACTTGATAATGAGATTGATCAAGCTCTACAGTCATTGAGGAAGTCACAGGAGTTGGAGTACAACATTGCTGAGGAAAGGCTCTTTGCACAAAGGAACTGCATTATAAATCTATATGAACAAATAGACAAGGAGAGGTCTCAACTCTTGCACCACTCAACATTCACCGACTTGGAGCCGCTGCTCAAAGCACTTCATGAGAGGATAGAGTTGGTGAAACGGGAAGCTTTGAAACTCAGGGATATGAAACAAGTGGAAATGGGATTTGGAAGAACTTCAAAGCACATACTTGAGGAACATTTTGGTTTAAAATGTGATCAGTGACAAATTCATGCTAGTTGTGTTTGTACACTAGGTGATCATTCTCTATTTCTCTTGCAGTGTGCACAATTTTCAAGTCCACTGTTTGTCTATTCGAAAACATGTTCCCAGATTCATTCATTCATACACATGAACATGGTTTTGCCTTCTCAAATTGGAGAGACGTAATCACGTAAATATAAAGTTGGAGTCTAACTCATCCAATTACGAATAGGAAATTGGATTCAGATTTGTTGGTTTCCTCGTATTAAATTGCATCGATTATAATGGGAAGAACCGCATATACTCGCCTACTGTGATAATAACTTGCAATACATGAGATTTTTACTTGGATATTACTAATTTTGAACCAATTACCCAAAAAGTGATCACTTTTAAAAAAGGATAAAAAAGTGATCAAAAAGGTCATATATGTGTAATTAGAAAACATGATGTAATTGCAAAAAATTTATGTCACTGCATGTTTGTTTTTTTGTAACTACAACCACCGCCCGTGTCACTGTAGCCACCGTCTGTGTCACTGCGGTCACCGCCCGTGTCATTACAATCACCACTTGTGTCACTGTGGTCACCGCCCGTATCACTATAACCACCGCCCTATCACTATAGATTTTCATATATTTGGAAAACATTATGTCACTGTCAGATTTTCATGCCACTGTCAAATTTTTATGTCACTTGAATGTCACTAATGGTCTCATAGGTAATAAAAGAAAAGTCGAATCGAATCATTACTTGCAATATATCCACCCCTCTAATCATAATTAGGGTTGGGTCCGAAAAATCGAAAACCAAAAACCGAATCAAATTATACCGAACCGTAGCCAAATAAAATCGAACCGTTAACAAACCGAAATCGAATGTAAAAAACCGAACCGTAGTTGTTTGGTTCGGTTTTGGTTTTTACCCTTCAAAACCGAACCGAACCGAACACACCGAACTAATTAAAATATAAAATTTATTTGTCAATTGTTAAGCATTAATCCTAACTAATCCTAAAATCATTAATGACCTTTGATTTTTTTTTGTACTAGAAAAATAATGTTTGTGTTATGTTTACTTTACTTTAGTTTAGTTTATAAATTCATTCACACATTCATTGCATGTAATAATGTAGCTATACTGAATGATGATAATATATTTTTACTAGTTATTAGTATTAATGGCCTTTTATTTTTGTTTAACTTAAAGAATTCATTTTGATGAAACAATAAATATTCATCTCAACTAAATCACATAGAACGTATGTATCATGAACTTTTTTGAACTAGTCACAAACAATTGAAATTAATAATATATATACTTTTATCTCTCCCATACTCATATAATTCAAGACATATTTATTTATTTTTATTTTTATTTATTGTGCTTGCATTCTTTATGTAATATGTTTGATCCCTCAAAGTATTATATCAATTTTAAATCAAATAATATTTTTTGGTAAACAACCGAAAAAACCGAAACTGAATTGAAACAAACCTAACTAATCAAACTGTGGTTCCAAATTTTGGAGTGTAAAACCGAATTGAAACTGAACCAAACTTTTTACTTTAGTTCTATATTTGATTTTAGATCAAAACTGAACCACAAGAACCGAACCCACCCCTAGTCATAATGGGTTATAGATAATGTTCTTAACTATTTAGGAAAGTAGCTTCTCTACTGTGGAAGGTAGATGTTTATATATACTCCCTCCGTCTCGTTTTGGTTGTCCTACTTTCCTTTTTGAGTTGTCCCAAAATGTATGTCTTGTTTCCTTTTTTGGATGAAATATGTGGTTCTTATCAATTCACTTTATTCTACTCAAATCTCAACCACAACTTTTACTTTTCAACCATTTTATTAATAATTGTGCCAAATTGAAAATGGACAACCATTATGGGACGGAGGTAGTATTAATTGCGCAGTGTTCTTAGATAATTTATTTGACTGTCTTCTCGGTTGAATTTTTATCTGCAATTTGGTATGAGTAAACTAGACTTAATGAACAACATGCTTAAAAAAAATTCATCAAAACATTTCATCGAGAAGGTCCCCCAAATGGTCTCGTCCGGACAGGCCGGCTGGACATGAACGTCATTCTATATGAGTGAGAATAAATCTTGTGCATTCACTTCCACATCTAATGATTTAAAATGAGCCAACAATGCACATTAAATTTGATAAAAAAAACGCGGTGACAATTTCATAAATAAATCGAAGTTTTCTGCCACCCGCGAAAAATGCAACAGAAACACGCATTAGTGCACCGCGGTGAGGGAAAAATGCATGTGAGAAATGCAACTAATGTGAGAAATGAGAATGAATCTTAACCTTTAGATTTACGAGTAAAAGTTAAAACTCAAATGTGCATTACGACAAAGTGAAATGTGTAGAAAAAAGACACAAAATGCCACCACATCGTAGCTTTTATTCTGCATATATATTTCAGTTTCACCTAATGTACAATTCAGCTTTACATAATTCTACTATGTCGTACCTTTTGTGTTGCACATTTCGGCGTCTTCTATTGCACATTTCAGTTTCAGCTAATGCACATTCAATTTCACATAATCTAATGATCCAGATTCATTTCATTTCTCTCCTAGGATCATTTTCTCATTTGAATTCCCGATTGAATTTTTTGGTGAAATTTAGTATGGATGTACTAAACTTGATGAAGAACATGCTCAAAAAACTTCATCGAAAAATTCCACCAGGAAGGCCCTCAAAACGTGGAGGCCGCACGGAGGCTCCGGTAATGTATACCTTACCGGAAGAGTTCCCTATATATATATATATATATATATATATATATATATATATATATATATATATATATATATATATATATATATATATATATATATATATATATATATATATATTTTGGTTCAGGTGAGAAATGCATCTAATGTGAGAAATGAGAATGAATCTCAGCCATTGGATTTACGAAGTTGCACTAAAATTGGCTTTATGTTGCAGTAATATTTAAATTTTGCACATGTTGCACTAAAACTATTTCATGTTGCACTGATATTTGACGGCGTTGCACCGAAATAGCTTCATGTTGCACTAGACACGTGTAATACGGATTTTTCATAAGTATTTACAGAAATGCCACCGTGCATAATTCAGTGCATCATGAAGTGTCTTTTACTGCAACTTAGTCGAATCCAATGGCTGAGATTCATTCTCATTTCTCACCCAAAGGGTTCTTCTCACTTGAACCTTACCCTATATATATATATATATATATATATATATATATATATATATATATATATATATATATATATATATATATATATATATATATATATATATATATATATAGTACTCTTCCGGTCAGGTATACCTGACCGGAGCCCCGTCCGGCCTCCTCCATTTGGGGGCCTTCCCGGTGGTATTTTTTGCTCAAATTTTTTGTGTAGGTTCCTCATCAAGTCTAGTTCATCCATACCAAATTTTAGAAAAACATTCAATCGGAAAAGTCGTCAAATGATTTTTGCAAGTCAACTGGTCCGGAAAATACATATTCCGGACCAGTTAATTTGAAAAAATCATTTGACGACCTTGCTTATTGAATGTTTGGCTTAAATTTGGTATGGATGAACTAGACTTGATGAGGAACCTACACAAAAAATTTGAGCAAAAAATACCACCAGGAAGACCCCCAAATGGAGGAGGCCGGACGGGGGGAGTGGTCCGGCCTGGCCGGACCTGAATAGTTGTGTGTGTGTGTGTGTGTGTGTGTATATATATATATATATATATATATATATATATATATATATATATATATATAGAGAGAGAGAGAGAGAGAGAGAGAGAGAGAGTTAAGATCAGATACAAAGTGCGCTTCCCATACAAAATGCAAAATCATCTCATTCGTCCAATTTTACAAAATCAAGGCTAAGATTTGTTTAGACCACTAAAAATAAGCCGTATTAGTGGGGAAGTTTTTTAACTTCTATCCATTACATGCGGCAAGTGTATTAGCGGTGACTCCGGTGAGTTTTCTCATCCACACCTATTCAATGGATGGTCAGGATTAATTTGCATTTTGGTAAATTAGGATTAGTTTGTATGTGATCCTTTATATATATATTATCTCGGGAGTCAAACAACCAAATTAGTGGTAAATGTCAAAACGTTTACCTAGTTTTATTTAAAAAAAAAAGGTAACGATGCAAAAGAGATAGGGGGACTAGACCAAATTCTCTCCAAATAAGGCATTTCTTCTCAAAATACATGAACTAAAGTAAATGAAGAAAAATGGGGGATAGGCCCGGCCCAATTTAAAAGAAACGAAACAAGAAAATACAAAAGGAAGTGAATAACCTAAACAGGAAATAAAATACAATAGGAAACCCTAACGTTTGGGTAAGCAACACTATCCAGATTGACGGCTCCCCTGATTCGGACGGGGAGCGGAGCAGGATGGAGAAAGATCGTATGAAGAGAAGGCTTGCGAAGCAGTAGGCTTCTCTGGAACAGTGTAGGAAAGAGAAGTGTCGGACTGAAGCGATGTGTCGAATAGGAAGAGGGAGGTGTTGAAAGCTTGAAGACGCCTCGTCATGGTGGAGTAAAGAGATAGCGGCAAGGGAGTCCAATTCAATTTCTATATCCGTGTACCTAGAATCGTGCAACCAGTAAGTAGCCACAAGAATGGCAATAAGTTCAACTTCGAAAATTAAATGAGTCTGAAGTTGGTAGGAGCCAACAAAGATAAGATTACCCTCAACATCCCTTAAGATAGGCCCGCCTGAGGAGGACTTCCCATTAAAGACAGCGTCAACATTCAACTTGAAGGTACCTTTCCACTTTTTACGATTAACTATAAGAAAATTTTGCCCATGAGTACCTTTTGCCACATGGATTAGACCTTCCTAAACAATGAAATCCGGAGGTTTACAACCTTTAGGAAACTCCATTCCAACCTCTCAAAGATAGATATACTTAATAGTCTTCTTAAGAATATTTGGATAAACTTAGCAGAAATGTTGCCCCAATAGTAAGAAGTAAATGATTTCCATATGTGCCACATAATAACCCTAGGAATAACATGCTTATTAATATCTTTGATGGACTTAGAACCAGCCTCCAACCACCATGTGAAACAGATATGTTTATGAGAGACAAAAGAAATACAAAAGAAATATCAAATGAGACACAAACCAGGACCAAACCACCCAGCGGCGGTACAAAGTGGGGCAAGTGCCCCCCCCAGTAACTGATCT